ATATAAGTTTTGTTTGTTCAAATGGTTATCTTGTTTGCAATTGCTATTCCCTTGTTCAAACACACCTAAACTAGACTATAATTCATTTAAAAGTCTTGTTCTTAGTCTTTTACATCCGACCTGGAAAACCTCGCAGCCGCTTTTATTTGTTATAGTGTTCCGTGCTCCTGGCCCGTATTCTGAATTTGTATCTGAATTCTCAGAGTTTTTATCCAGTTTAGTTCTTAAATCAGATAAAGTTATTATTGTAGGCGATTTTAACATTCATGTCAACGTTGATAATGACTCCCTGGCTACCACGTTTATCTCATTATTAGACTCAATTGGCTTCAGTCAGGGTGTACATGAACCCACTCACTGTTTTAATCATACCCTCGATCTAGTTCTGACGTATGGAATTGAAATTGATTACCTAACAGTCTTTCCACAGAATACCTCGCTATCGGATCATTATTTGATTACTTTTGATTTCTTTTTACTCGATTACACGCCACTCAGCAACAGTTACTATACTAGATGTTTATCAGATAGTGCTGTCACAAAATTTAAGGAAATGATTACTCCGTCGTTAAATTCAATATCATGTCCTTCAGTAACAGAGGTTTCCCGTACCGACTTTAACCTCTCCCGAATTGATCATCTTGTCGATAGCGCTGTAGGCTCGCTGCGAACAACACTCGACTCTGTAGCTCCTCTTAAAAAGAAGTTAACAAATCAAAGAAAGTTCGCTCCTTGGTATAACTCTCAAACCCGTAAGTTAAAACAAATATTGTGAAAATTTGAAAGGAATTGGCAATTAACCAAACTGGAAGAATCTTGTTTAATCTGGGCAGACAGTCTCAAAACGTATAAGAGGGGCCTCCGCAATGCCAGAGCAAACTATTACTCAGCATTAATAGGAGAAAACAAGAACAACCCCAGGTTTCTTTTCAGCACTGTAGCCAGGCTGACTGAGAGTCACAGCTCTATTGAGCCTTGTATTCCTTTAGCCCTTAGCAGTAATGATTTTATGAGCTTTTTTAATGACAAAATTCTAACTATTAGAGGCAAAATTCATGACCTCCTGTCCTCAGATAGTACCTATCTAACCTCAAACACAGCTGTAAGACCTAATATATATTTAGATTGCTTCTCCCCAATTTCTCTTCAAGAATTGACAGCAGTGATTTCTTCATCTAAATCATCAACGTGTCTCTTAGACCCCATCCCAACTAGGCTACTTAAGGAGGTCTTACCTTCAGTTAACACTCATATATTAGATATGATCAATATATCCTTATTAACAGGCTATGTACCACTAGTTAATATTACAAATGACCTTCTGATTGCTTCAGACAAAGGACTCGTCTCTGTACTTGTTTTATTAGATCTTAATGCGGCATTTGACACTATTGACCATCAAATTCTGCTACAGAGACGGGAACACTTAATTGGCCTAAAAGGTTCTGCACTAAGCTGGTTTAAATCTTATTTATCTGATCGTTTTCAGTTTGTTGACGTTCATAATGAATCATCCTTACATACTAAAGTTTGTTTTGGAGTTCCGCAAGGTTCTGTGCTCGGACCAATCCTATTTACTCTATATATGCTTCCTTTAGGTAACATCATTAGAAATCACTCTTTAAATTTCCATTGTTATGCGGATGATACACAGTTGTATTTATCGATGAAGCCAGAAGAAAGTAATCAATTAACTAAACTTAATAATTGCCTTAAAGACATAAAAACCTGGATTAGCACCAATTTCCCGATGTTAAATTCAGACAAAACTGAAGTTATTGTTCTTGGCCCCAAACAACTCAGAGACTCTTTATCTGATGACATAGTTTCTCTAGATGGCATTGGTCTGGCCTCTACCACTACCGTAAGAAACCTCGGAGTAACATTTGATCAAGATTTGTCTTTTAATTCTCATTTAAAACAATCCTCACGGACTGCATTTTTTCATCTGCGTAATATTGCAAAAATTAGGCCTATCCTGACCCGAAAAGATGCAGAAAAATTGGTCCATGCTTTTGTTACCTCAAGGCTGGATTACTGTAACTCTCTATTATCAAGTAGCTCTAGTAAGTCCTTTAAAACTCTCCAGCTAATTCAGAATGCAGCAGCACGTGTACTAACTGGAACTAAGAAACGTGATCATATTTCTCCTGTTTTAGCTTCTCTGCACTGGCTCCCTGTAAAATCCAGAATTGAATTTAAAATCCTACTGTTAACTTATAAAGCTCTAAATGGTCAAGCTCCGTCATATCTTAGAGAGCTTATAGTGCCATATAATCCCAACTCTGCGCTCTGAGAACGCAGGGTTACTTGTGGTCCCTAAAGTCTCCAAAAGTAGATCAGGAGCCAGAGCCTTCAGCTATCAGGCTCCTCTCCTGTGGAATCATCTTCCTGTTACGGTCCGGGAGGCAGACACCGTCTCCACATTTAAGACTAGACTTAAGACTTTCCTCTTTGATAAAGCTTATAGTTAGGGCTGGCTCAGGCTTGCCTTGTACCAGCCCCTAGTTAGGCTGACTTAGGCCTAGTCTGCCGGAGGACCCCCTATAATACACCGGGCACCTTCTCTCCTTCTCTCTCTCTCTGTCTCTCTCTCTCTCGTATCCTATTACTGCATCTTGCTAACTCGGCCATTCTGGATGTCACTAACTCGGCCTTTGTGCTCCACTGTTTCTCAGGTTAACTCATATTGCAGCGGTGCCTGGATAGTGTGACGTGTGTGGTTGTGCTGCCTCCTGCCGCTGCTGTCATCATTAGTCATACTTCTACTGTTATTATACACATATGATTATTGTCACATATGTATACTGTCAGATATTAATATATACTTTCAACATATTGTATCACAGTAGCCAGAACTATATTATTACTTTCATTAATGTTGTTGTAAGCTACTGTCATTACCATCTGTCCAGCATCTCTCTCTCTCTCTCTGTCTCTCTCTCTGTCTTTTTCTGTCTCATTGTGTCATACGGATTAATGTTAATTTATTATGCTGATCTGTTCTGTATGACATCTATTGCACATCTGTCCGTGCTGGAAGAGGGATCCCTCCTCAGCTGCTCTTCCTGAGGTTTCTACCATTTTTTTCCCCTGTTAAAGGGTTTTTTTGGGGGAGTTTTTCCTTATCCGCTGTGAGGGTCCAAAGGACAGAGGGATGTCGTATGCTGTAAAGCCCTGTGAGGCAAATTGTGATTTGTGATATTGGGCTTTATAAATAAAATTGATTGATTGATTGATTGATTGATTTGCACAAATGATCTTTTTGTTCCGCTTATGTTTTTTGAGGTTATCTTGTTCCCACAAGTTACTATCTTGTGTCCATGTTTTTTCCCACATCATTGTGTTTCCACAAGACATTTTTCATACCTCATCTTGTTTCCACAACTTATCTTGTTTACACATGTTTTTATCTTGTTTCCACAATATCATTCTTTCCATGTCATTTTGTTTCGACAAGTCAGTCCCTCATTTTCATATATTATGTTGCTTCCATAAATTATCTTGTTTCCAAAAGTCATTCTGTTTCACAAGATTTTTTTCTACATGATCACATTTACACAAGCTATGATTCTATTTTCACAAGTTATTTACTTTTAGTTTCATGTCTCATATTGTTTCTACAAATTTTATCTTGTTTCCATAACTTATTTTTCCCCCCACGTTATCGTCTCTGTGCAAATGTTATTCCCTTCTTCAAATTCAGTATCTCATTGGCACAAAAAAAAATTCCACTATTTTTTCAAGTTACTTTGTTTCCACAAATTATTTTCCTGTTTCTACAATTTTCTAAATAGTTTCCACATTATCTCTTCTTTATCCACGTAATTTTGTTTTCACAAGATAATTTCTTGCTTTAACAAGTTAACTCACTATTATACATGAACTTACAAATTACTATCTTGTTTCCACAAGTTTTTATCTTGTTACCACACAATTTTATCTAGTTTCCACAAGTTATTTTGTTATTATTGTTTTTCCACATTAACATCTTTTTGATTGCAAATGTTTTCTCTTATTTAAATACATATTTTGTTGGCACAAATGACCTTTAGACACCACACATTTCTTTAGTTTCCACGTGTTATTTTGTTTCCATAAGTTTTTGACTCATTTTCATACATTATCTTGTTTCTGCAAGTTTTTTTTTGTTTCCACAAATAATTTTTACTCAAGATATTTTCTTTATTCCCAAAAGTTAATAAAAAGTAATTTTCATACACTATGTTGTTTCCAAAAAGTATTTTGTTTTCACAAGTCTTTATCTTGTTGACACGTGTCTTGTTTTCACTAGTTCTGATTGTATTTACTGAAATTATCTTGTTTTTTCAAGTTACTATCTAGATAGATTATTATCTCATTTGCACAAATATTGTCTTGTTCTCATAAGTTGTAATCTTACTTCCAAGTAAATACGTTGTTCGTACAAATCATTTTAATCCTGTAAGTATTATCATATTCACACTAACTAATATCTTGTTCGCACAAATGATTATCTTCTTCACTCAAGCTAATATCTTTAATTAACTTGTGTGCACAATGTAAAAGAAATACAATATTGCAGATCTTTGAGGGCTTCATAGATGTACTAGGCTTCTATCACAGGTTCAGTGTTTCCAGTTGTACAATAATTACTTAATTTTCATTGAATTATATTAGACCTTTGTTTGTTTGCATTCAATAATTCTAAAAAACAAACAAACAAAAACGAACAATAATATCCATATTTTGTAGTTAACAGCTTTTTAGCCATGATATCAGTGTGGCTCTAGGGATGGATGTGTTGGTTGAAAGGTCAGTTGGTGCAACATATTCCTGCACTGTGAAACAATTGTTAAATTTATTGTCAGGACATTTTGTTCAGACATTCATAGTCTCCAGTTGATGAAACACATGTCCAACGCTTGAGTTGGTGATGGGATCCCAGTGTCAGAGGTTTGATTGGATTATTCCTGATAGATGTGCAGAGACCAATGGACTTGTTTCTGTCTTCGTCTCAGGCAGGAGTGTGTGGCCACAGAAGAGAGTCCGCAGGTGTTCTTCTGCTGCTGTGAAGGAAACTTTTGCAATGAAAGGTTCACACACCTGCCTGACGTCACCGGACCATGTGAGTTTTAACTCATTTTAACACATATTCATATATTTTCTAATATTTCATGAGTTATGTGTGTTTAATTATGCATGTGTGCATTTTAACTGATGACCATGTTTGTTTATGTGATATTTTCCTGGTATGTCAGTGATCAAAGCCCCACCCCCCAGTGTTGCCATATTAAACCTGATGGTTTACTGCCTGCTGCCCGTCACCATGCTGTCCGTCGCTCTGCTCACCGCCATCTGGATGTACAGACACAGGAAACCTCCGTATGGACATGTGGACATCGCTGAGGTACACATACACAGATGTAGTACTTGTGAGGACTCCCACACACCTTAAATCTTGCCACCCTCATAGAGCTCCTTAAAAAACTGACAAGCAGCCAAAATGTCCCCACTTTGCAGATATGTAAACTGACAGTGATGGAGGAAGTATTAATACCACAGTGTTATAGTAAAAGTCCTGCACAAAATGTCCCTTATGTTAAAGTATGTGAGAATAATCAGTAAAATTTAGTGTAAGTATAAAAAGCATTAAAGTGTCCCCTGCAACTGTTATACCATTTTATATAACAGTTAGCTGCAATCAAGCATTTTGATTGGACAGGAGGCATTCCATGAGTGCTGATATACAGTATAATAGCACTGGGACTTTAAACTCTGCATGTATCACTACATGTTATAGGTGTTCTGAGCCATTCATTGCATTAACTGTTAATTAGCCTATATTAAGGCTTGTCATAACAAACATTGCACCACAGAGAGGAACATGTTTTAACGAATAACATTTGCGGTAAGTAATGAATGGTTATCAGAAAGGGACAAAGGGGCCGAAAGAACCCTGGATACTTCACTGTTGATCTCCATATGCTCATATGACATCAGAAGATGACACACCATTATTCTCATTCATTCATTTATTTCCTTTTGACCCCTCCCCAGGGTATAAGGGACAAACAAAAATAGCAATAACAAATCAGAGCAGGCAGCAACCAATGTACAACAAAATAAATAAAACAGAATTAGTGTACATATGTACAAGTCAAAGCAAATCAAGAGAAACTATTCAGGATTTTCTTTAAAAGTTTCAACAAATTTGACAAAACCTTTACTTTTCAAGATGACATTAACTTTTGAAACTTGTAGATATTTGGATTTACTCTATAGAACTGTCCGACCAATTCTCTTCTCTCTTTATTAAAAAAGGAACACACAAGTACATAATGATATTCGTCTCCTCGATTGCCATTCAAACAAAGAGTACATTGCCGAGGGACATTTTCATGGTCATACCTGCGCTCAGAGATAGGTAACTTATGATTTCCACACCTAAACTTAGACAAACAAATCCTTTCGGCAGGTCTTAACATAATCAAATAATGTTCAAAAGTGAAATCAGTTTTAAACAATTTATAACTATCACATAAAGGGTTGCTTTGTAATTTCTCATGCCATCTCTGTAGTTCCATGTCAGATAATCTACGTTCAATCATTAATTTTAAATACTTAGGTTTCATCCGTCCAGCGTCATGCCATAAGTACGATAAACCACAATCATCAAGAATATTTTTAACTTTGGAAATCCATTTACACTGAAAAATATTGCCATCATACAAAATCTTGAAAACAATAAACACAATCAAAGAGATTTTTGTTGTATTATGACTAATTAAATGTATCCAAAAGTTAATCATTCTCATGTTTACCTTTAAATCTAGACTATTTCGACTAAACTCTCCATAAATAATACAACTTGCTGTGCGTCTATTAAGTAAGGGTTAATGCCCGACGAGATGTCCATTATCAGGCATTAATGGACGATGCGGAGGCGTGAACCGTCTGACGCGAAGCGGTCGCGGAAGCAACCGTCCTCCACTTCACGTCGGACGGTTCACGCCTCCGCATCGTCCATTAATGCCTGATAATTGACACCTCGAAGGGCATTAACCCGCTTATACCATGGTCACTTACCAAAAAAATTAATATTAAATCAATTATTTATGCTTTAATGTTTTTTACACTTAAAATCATGAGTTTTTCACAAGCCACAGCTGAGCGCACTATTTAATCTCTGTAGTTCACAGGCGTTGCCATGGAAACCCGCTGTGGCCGCTGCGTAGAAAGCATAGCGACTCTGATCAGTGAAGGGAAGTGAGATTATGGCTAAGTGATATTATTCAGAAGATGATTATTTCAGAAAGCCAGTGCACTTCTTACCGCTTGTGTGTTACAGACTCTGGTGGTCAGAGGATGATGTGCAAAAAAAAACTTGAGATAGGCCTATTACTTTCATGATTCATTGGCGTTCATTTAGCCTATAGGCTAGACCCAACAAAATTTGTTTCAAATAATCAACATCCAAGGCTAGTCAAAATCGTTTTTAATTGCAACAAATAATTCATAAGCATATAGTAGTCAAGATTAAATCATATAAACACATTAACAAATTAACGATTGTTTCCTACTTAAAATTAAATTACCATTAATAGTGAAATTTAAAAGTGATATGGGTATGTCCATTATAGTGGCATTTGAAGGACGGAGATTGACAGATTGAGCACTGTTTATTGGGACATTCGGAGACGACAAGATGTTGCTCCAATCTCGTCTCTCCTGCGCTGACGGAGCCCAATAAGCCTGCCGGCTGCTCTCACACTGATGTCCCGTGACGGTCATGATCTGACGAGTTTCCAGGCGGCGTCAGAGAGCCAACCTACAGCTGTGCTCCGGAGGCTGTGATTGTCTTTTCATTCTCTATCCTCTCTTCTTCTGCATCCCAGTCATCAAAATGATCAAATTCACCAAATAAATTAAATGAAACTCTAAAATCACTCATGATGCCCGTTGTAATCCGTTGCCTCTGCTCTGAGTCTCCGCTGCTATGGTTACAAACTAGTAGTTGAGCCAGCGCAATAATTTACAGTGCCCTCCAAAAGTATTGGAACAGTGAGGCCAATTCCTTTATTTTTGTTGTAGACTGAAAATATTTGGGTTTGACATCAAAAGATGAATATGGGACAAGAGATCAACATTTCAGCTTTTATTTCCAGGTATTTACATCTGGATCTGATACACAACTTAGAAGATAGCACCTTTTGTTTGAACCCACCCATTTTTCATGAGAGCAAAAGTATTGGAACATGTGACTGACAGGTGTGTTTTGTTGCCCAGGTGTCTCCCAATTACATTGATTATTCAAACAATAAATAGCACTGAATGTCTGAGCTCAGTTTCAGATTGGGTACGATAGGTTTTGCCTGTGCAGACTGCATTTAGAGGTGGAACCAACATGAAAACCAGAGAGCTGTCTATGGGTGAAAAAGAAGCAATTGTGAATCTGAGAGAAGATGGACAATCAATCAGAGCCATTGCACAAACATTGGCCATAGCCAGTACAACCATTTGGAATGTCCTGAAGAAGAAAGAAACCACTGGTGTACTAAGCAACAGACGTCGAACAGGTAGACCAAGGAAAACATCAGCAGTTGATGACAGAAACATTGTGAGAGCTGTAAAGAAAGACCCTAAAACAACTGTTAGTGACATCAGCAACAACCTCCAGAGGGCAGGAGTGAAGGTATCACAATCTACTGTTCGCAGAAGACTTCATGAACAAAAGTACAGAGGCTACACCAGAAGATGCAAACCACTCATTAGCAAGAAGAATAGGAAGGCCAGGCTGGAATTTGCCAAAAGGTACAGAGATGAGCCTCAAAAATTCTGGGAAAAAGTTTTATGGACTGATGAGACAAAGATTAACTTTTTCCAAAGTGATGGAAAGGCGAAAGTTTGGAGAAAGAAAGGATCTGCTCATGATCCCAAACATACAAGCTCATCTGTGAAACACGGTGGAGGTAATGTCATGGCTTGGGCTTGCATGGCTTCTTCTGGGACGGGCTCTTTCATCTTCATTGATGATGTAACACATGATGGCAGCAGCAAAATGAACTCAGAAGTCTACAGAAACATTTTGTCTGCTAATTTAAAGAAAGATGCAACCAAACTGATTGGGAGATCCTTCATCATGCAGCAAGATAACGACCCAAAACACACTGCCAAAACAACAAAGGAGTTCATCAGGGGCAAGAAGTGGAAGGTTTTAGACTGGCCAAGTCAGTCTCCAGACTTAAACCCAATAGAGCATGCATTTTACCTGCTGAAGAGGAGACTGAAGGGAGTAACCCCCCAAAACAAACAACAACTGAAAGAGGCTGCGGTGAAAGCCTGGAAAAGCATCACAAAAGAAGAATGCAAAAGTTTGGTGATGTCAATGGGTCACAGGCTTGATGCAGTTATTGAAAGCAAAGGATTTGCAACTAAATATTAAGTCTCATTCACTTTAATCTATTTTAAGTTTATATGTTCCAATACTTTTGCTCACCTAAAAATTTTGTGTTCCATTACAAATAATGCTATCTTCTAAGTTGTGTATCAGATCCAGATGTAAATACCTGGAAATAAAAGCTGAAATGTTGATCTCTTGTCTCATATTCATCTTTTGATGTCAAACCCAAATGTTTTCAGTCTACAACAAAAGTAAACAAATTGGCCTCACTGTTCCAATACTGTTGGAGGGCACTGTAGAACCTGTCATCAGGCAATTTGACCGGAACGTCTTTTTAGCTGTCCTATAACACCTTTTAACGGACACCCTGTAGCCAATCAGAATTGAGTATTCACCCAGACCATGGTATAACATTAAGTAAACATTTCAAAAAAGATCTGTGAAGCATTTCAGTTTGGTCAAGTTTATGAAATCCCCAGACTTCGCTTCTGCCAATTAAGTTGTTAACTCATGGGCATCACACATATGCCACTAAAGCAACTGTCAGCAGACTCTTTCACTAGTCACAAAATAAATGGAAACACAGATGTAGCCTACATGATGCTGAGTAGCTGGCCTGCGGTAACATATAGACCTACAGTAAACAGAAGTTAATGAAGGCTAGCGTGCAAGAATGATTCTGTGTTAGTTGGCCAGTCAAGTTGTGGAACTATTTGTGTTGGTGGAAACAAATAAATCAGTAAATACACATACAAATCATAAATTGTTGCCGCTTTTTACTGTTAAGTAATAAATTACACTTGTAGAACTGTTGTATAAAAGCAATAGGCTATCACTCGAGAGGGAGTTCTGTTCTGCTGAATATCACCTTTGACTGAATCACAGCTGTGCTAATATTCAGTACATAAGCACTCCCTCTTGTGTGATATTGCTGAAATATATAATCTCATTAGATGATTCTGACTCATGCATTAATGTAAAAGGAGGATTTTACTGTGGGAGATGGT